GCTGCTGCTGCTGCTGCTGCTGCTGCTGCTGCTGCTGCTGCTGCTGCTGCTGCTGCTGCTGCTGGTGGTGTGATTGTGAATTAGGGTGGTGATGGCGGTGAAGAGGATGGTCTTGGTGGTGGTGCTGCTGTTCTCGTTGCTGCTGCTGTTCTTGCTGTTCTTGCTGCTGCTGTTGCAGTTGCTTCTGCTGCTGTTCGTGTTGCCGTTGCTGCTGTTCTTGCTGCTGCTGCTGCAGTTGCTGCTCTGCCTGCTGCTGCTGCTGCAGCTGAAGTCAGCTGTGCTGTGCCCGAACGCGCCGCTGCTGCTGCTGCTGCTGCTGCAGCTAAACTCAATTGCGCTGTGCCCAAACGCGCTGCCGCCGCTGCTGCTGCTGCTGCTGCTGCTGCTGCTGCTGCTGCAGGCGACCTGGAGGTGTGGCCGGCGTTTCGAGTGTTTGAGCTGCTGCAGAAGGTGGTGCAGCAAAGTGGCATTAAGGAGCAGCTGCAGCAGCAGCGCGCAGACCCGATGGCCCCCAAAGCAGCAGAATCAGAACTTGGCTTCCAGCTGGGCTACTTCGCACTTATTCTCCAGCTCAAGCTCCACGTCCAGGTGCTGCTGCTGCTGCTGCTGCTGCTGCTGCTGCTGCTGCTGCTCTTGCTGGGGCTACTGCTGCTGTTCTTTTCTCGGTGCTGCGGATGCTGCTGCTTGGGAAGTTCCTGTTGCTGCGGTTTCGCACTGGCTGTGTTTGCGGGAGCGTGCAGCAGCAGCTGCTGCTCCAGCAGCAGCAGCAGCAGCAGCAGCTGCTGCTGCTGCTGCTGCTGTTGCTGCTGCTGCTGCTGTGCTTCGTCGCAGCTGCCGGTGCTTGCACTTGATGTTGCTTTCCTCCTCTTCGAATGCAGTCGGTGTTCTCCCAGCTGCTGCTGCTCTACTGCTGCCACTTCACTGCTGCTTCGCTGCTGCTGCTGCTGCTGCTGCTGCTGCTGCTGCTGCAGGTGGGCCTGTTCCACGCGGGCGTTGCTGCTGTCAACGACATTGAGCTGAGTCCCAAGGCCTTTTACTGGCGAGTTCCAGTCGCTCATTACTCTTTCATTTTCCACCTCGGCTTCGCCTACATGATGCTCAGGTAACTGCAGCCACAGCTAGCTAGCTAGCTAGCCAGCTAGCTAGCTACCTAGCTAGCCAGCTAGCCAGCTAGCTAGCTAGCTAGCTAGCTAGCCGGCTAGCTAGCTGGTTGGTTAGTTAGCTGGCTAACTAGTTGGCTGGCAGGCTGTCCAGGTAGTTGGTTAGATACCTGGCTAGCTAGCTAGCTAGCTAGCTGGCTAGCTAGTCGGTTAGATTCCTGGCTAGCTAGCTAGCTAGCTAGCCAGCTCCGCAGTCGTCCGCCACTTGTTCAGCAGCTGCCGCAGGCAGCCAAGCAGCCGAGCCGAGCAGCACAGCAGCAGCAGCACAGCAGCAGCAGCAGCAGCAGCAGCAGCAGCAGCAGCACAGCCGCAGCAGCAGCAGCAGCAGCAGCAGCAGCAGCAGCAGCAGCAGGAGGGGGTGTGCGTGCAGGCGGTACCAAGACGCAATCCGCGTGATGTCTCAGGCGCTGCTGGCGCTGTCGCGGCAGCGCGGGCAGCTAGCCAGCAGCAGCAGCTACCAAGGAGCTTCTATGAGCAGATCTGCTGACCGCATGCATGTGCTGCTGCTGCTGTGTTCGAAGCTGAGTGGCATTAAACTCGACGACTCCATTCACCAGACCATCAAGGAAAGGCACAGCGACAAGTTCTACAAGTCTGCTGCTGCTGCTGCTGCTGCTGCTGCTGCTGCGGCGGCGGCGGCGCTGCTGCTGCTGCTGCTGCTGCCGTGCTGCTGCTGCTGCTGAGGCTTTCGCTGCGGCTGCGCGCGCGGCGCGCGCTGCCCGGGCTGCTGCTGCTGCAGCCGTGCTGCTGCTGCTGCAGCCGTGCTGCTGCTGCTGCTGCTGCTGCTGCTGCAGGCTGCAGCAAGACACGGAGGAGGCTTACTGCGAGTTGTTCACGTGGGCAGCGCCGCGCTTCATCGATCCTGCTGCGCCTCCCACTTACGACGACGAGGCCTTCGACAGATTCGTCTCCGGCAAGTCCGAGATCCGCGTCCGCGTCTGCAAGCTCTTCCTCAAGGTCAGCTAGCTAGCCACTAGCTAGCTAGTTCGTTGGCTGACTAGCGGGCTAGCTGGCTAGTTAGCTGGATAGGGAGCTAGGTAGCTAGCTAGCTAGCTGGCTAGGCGGCCAGCTAGCTAGCTGGCTAGCTGGCTAGGCGGCTGGCTAGCTAGCTGGCTGGCTGGCTGGCTAGCTAGCTAGTTGGCTAGGTAGCTAGCTGGCTAGCTAGGTACCTAGATGGCAGAAGGGCTGTGCGCAAAGCGCGCAGCCTTTTTGAAGGTCTGTGCTTGCCTTGGTTGCCCAAGGGTTTAGGGTCTAGGGTTTAGGGTTTAGGGTTTAGGGTTTAGGGTTTAGGGTTTAATTGGTCTGCATTTAACGCAGGACGTGGAGAGCCGCCGCAAGGTTAATACCATCAACTCCTTCACCAAGCTCTACCACAACATACCGCTGGCGGTGAGTTTTGGCTAGCCAGCTAGCCAGCAGCTAGCTAGCTAGCTAGCTAGCTAGCTAGCTATTTCACTAGCTAGCTAGGAGGACTCGACAGAGTTGTTGAAGAGCTAGTCGCCTAGAGGCCCAGCTAGTTAGCTACCCAGCCCCTGACGCGGCCAGCTAGCTGCCTACCCGCTGCCCCAGCTAGCTAGCTAGCTGCTAGTCTAGCTAGCTTGCCGCCAGCCTAGCTAGCTAGCTGCCAGCCTAGCTAGGAAGCCAGCCTGCCAGCCAGCCATATGGCCAGCTAGCCAGCCAGCTAGCGATCCAGCTAGCCAGCTTGCTGTCGAGCTGTCCAGCCAGCTAGCCAGCTAGCTATCGAGCTATCCAGCCAGCTAGCCAGCCAGCTAGCGAGTCAACCACCCAGCTAGCCAGCTAGCTGTCGAGCTCGCCAGCTAGCCGTCCCGCGAGCTAGCAGCTAGCGAGTCAACTACCCAGCTAGCCAGCTAGCTGCCCAGCTAGCCAGCTAGCCGGCTGCGAGCTAGCAGCTAGCGAGTGAACTGCCCAGCTAGCCAGCTAGCTGCCCAGCTAGCCAGCTAGCTGCCCAGCTAGCTAGCTAGCTAGCGAGTGAACTGCCCAGCTAGCCAGCTAGCTGCCCAGCTAGCTAGCTAGCTAGCTGGCGCTGCGCCGCAGAAGCTGGGCCGGCTGATGGACGAAAGCGCGGAAGACCCCGAAGGCGAAGTGCGGGCGGGGCTGATGTGTTTGAAGTTGAAGAGTCAACAGAAAGTGTGGCGGTCGGGGCCGCTGTTGTCTGGGGAGTTGACTCAGCCTCACGTGGAGGCGTTGATGGACTTCAAGATCGACGGCGAGATGCTGCACGTGAAGGCGAGTTGGCTGCGATTTGGCCGCCAGAAGCTGCTTTTTTTCGTTTTAAATCCTTTTTATTTTCATTAAATGCTTTTTATTTTCAAAGTCCTTTTTTTTCCACTTTTTAAAACGCAAAAAGACCCCAAACTCGCGCGCCTGCGGTTCCCGTGCCCAGGTGTACGTACACCCCGACGCTGCATTTGCATGCGCACACTTCCAAGATTGCATTTTTATTTCCACTTTTGTTCTTTTTGCATTTCCAAAATTTTAATGCCTTTCTTTGATGTAATGCTCTTCTTTCCGCGAAAGAGGGCCTTTTGGCATGCGCGCTTCTTCGGGCCCCGGTGTATGTACACTGCGCATGCATGCATTTGCATGCATGCAAGGCATGCATGCAAATGCATGCATGCATGCAACGCATGCATGCAAATGCATGCATGCAAATGCATGCATGCAAGGCTTGCTGCTGCGGAGTGCATTTTAAAATGCATTTGCACCATTTGCATGCGCGAAGTGCTGTGGGGTTTTTGCTGCTGCTAGCTGCTGCTTCTGTGCTGCTGCTGCTGCCACTAAATGGCGCTTTTAATGGAGAAGTTGCTGTTGAAAAAGGAATTAAAAGAAAGAATTAAAAATGCTTTTTTGATTTGCTGCTGCAGAACCAACAAACCCAAAGAGTCTACGTGGACTACTTCGTCAAACAAATCGAAAGAAGCGACGCTTTGCTGCTAGCAGCGCAGCACGCAGTGGTGGCTCCGGCCCCGCAGCTGCAGCAGCTGCAGCCGCTGCAGCAGCTGCAGCAGCCGCAGCAGCTGCAGCAGCTGCAGCAGCTGCAGCAAGACACCCCCGCCAACGCCAGAGACCGCCGCAAGCCCCAAGTCGCATTCTAATGCCGCATGCATGCGCGCGTCTCCCTGGCCGCACCTAGCTGCTGCAGCTAGCTAGCTGCAGCAGCTAGCTAGCTGCAGCAGCTAGCTAGCCAACGGCAGCTAGCTAGC